TCTGCCTTACTCCCTGTCAGGCTCCTGTGCGGGTTTCTTCTCTTTTCCCTGAATTCATAATCTGTATTTCTATTTTTCTATGAACTTTTTGAAGTACCCTTGCATATCTGACAAAGGGTTTTTATAAAGAATATATGAATAACTATAAATCAGTAATAAAAAAATAGCCTAATGAAAAGAACAGGCAAAATACTTGAACAGACAATTTATGGAAGAAAATATACAAATGGCTAATAAATAAATGAAAAGATGCTCAGCATCATTAATCATTAGTGAAAAGCAGATCTGAACCACAGTGAGTAATGTTTTACTCTCTCTAGAATGCATAAAATAAAAAAGACTGCCAATACCAATGTGGACAAAGATGTGTAGCAACTGGAACTCTCATAAATAGCTGGTGGGAGTGTAAAATGCTACAACCACTTCAGAGAAATGTGTAATCATTTCTTATAAAAGTTAAGGACCCAGCAAGTCTTCTTGTAGCTATTTGCCTACGAGAAATGAAGGTAGATGTCCACAAAAATACTTGTACAAGAATGTTCATTTACCCCTAAACTGGAAACAACCCAGTTGGCTGTCAACAGGATAATGAATAAATAAAAAGTGATTTGTTCATACCATGGTGAACTAATAGGCAATGAAAAAGAGTCAAGAACGGACATAACTAATCTATAGTGATAAATATTAGAAAGTGGTCGCTTGAATGACAGGAAAGAATATTGATTGGAAAGGACACAAGGGAACTTTTTGGGGTGAGGGAGATATTCTATAATTTGTTTTGGGTGGTTATAGAGGTGTATAAACTCATCAAACTGAACATTTAAAATCAATACATTTTATGGTGCATTAATTATACCTCAGTAAATGTATTTGCTGAACCATTCTAATGTTATACTTTCTCATACTCAGCTAAGGAGAGAGAAATTGAAGTTCTTCATTTAAGCTGATGGTTTTCACATCATTTTGTCTTTGTAGGTTTTGTGTGGCTATAAAGAAAGAGAATTATCCAGATTACATGCCCTCACACATATTTTCTGACAGTGCGAAACAGATTTTCAGACAGCCCGGACATACTATATATCTCCTGCCAACTGTGGTAATCTGCAACTTGCTACCATGTGAACTTGATTTTTATGTTAAAGGAATGCCAATTAATGGGACACTGAAACCTGGCAAGGAGGCAGCTCTCCACACAGCTGATACCTCCCAGAACATTGAATTGGGTAAGGATGTTGTCACTTGTTCATTTGTAGTAGTTCTATGGAAATATCAATGAGTATTTTGTGATTATTTGGCAAACCTCTTGGAGAAATTGTGGCACACATAATATCTCAATAAGCCAGCTGAAAAGGAATTATGCAGTTAAAAAAAAAACTGATAGAAAAACTATTGAAAGCAAAAACTGAACAAACCAAAGATTTGCAGAAGAAACACTAAGTGGAGCTTTTTTCTTATATTGCTTACTTGATGTGTGATTATAGGAAGTTATTTCATCTTTTCAAACCATGTTTTTTCTTAGGTGTAGAATGAGCAAAATCATATGTCTCCCCTTCTCTTTTAAGGGAAGGGAATTTGCTAAGCACACACTATACTCCAGGCATAAGCCAGCCTCTTTCACACATGTGAACTCATGTAATCCTTACAGCCATAGTCATTTGTCCCATTTTACGGATGAGGAAAAGGAGGTTTGGAATGTTTAATACATGAAGTAATTTTCATTTGTAAGGTGAATAAGCCAGCCTCTTTCACACATGTGAACTCATGTAATCCTTACAGCCATAGTCATTTGTCCCATTTTACTGATGAGGAAAAGGAGGTTTGGAATGTTTAATACATGAAGTAATTTTCATTTGTAAGGTGAATGAAGTCAAGGTAGAGAATCATTATCATGTTTGCAGCAGTTGAAGCAAAAAGTTACCTCTGGACTTTGGGCAGGAAGTATGTTTCTTTAAGACTTCATAGACATGTTGAAGTAATAACTTAGATATTTATCTTTCTATAGTTTTGTGCTTTCACTATATTATCTCATTTGATCTCCACAAGAGCACATGTTTCAGGCTGAGACAGGTGTTACCCTGTTTTGCAGATGAGCAACCTGAAACTCATTGAGCTTAAGCAATGTGTCCCACAGTGACAAGGTTACATTTCAAATATAAACCATTGAACTTAATTTAGAAAAGAAAAACAGTGCAGTTCTAGTTATTCATTCTAAAGTCAGTCTTTGGCCTTTAAGTAGTTAGTTTTCTAATATATTTCTTTAAATATTTATTGAGCCCCTGTACAAAATGGAAATGTCACCCCCCCCAACCACCACTCGCTCATCTTAGGCATCATGCTTTATGTGGATTATCACTTTTCATGACAATCCTGTGATATAGATACTATTATTATTTGCATTTTCCTGGTGAGACCCAGAAAGGTTAATTATTTTGCTCCACATCATGCAGATAACAAGGACAGACTGGAGATGTGAAGCCAGGCAGTCTGGCTGCAGAACATTGACTTTTACCCTGTACTTGCCTTACTATGTTTCTAGCACCTAGCACAGGCCCTGATGTATAGCAAACTCCTAATAATCATAACTATTACTGCTAGTTTTCTTGGTATTCTAATGCTTTTAATTATGCAGTTTAGACTCCCTAATGTGACTTCTAGACCATCTGGTTTGTTTCGTATTTCTTCTCACCCAGCTAGAGGAAAATTGCCATTCAAATGAGATTTTTACCAGTTACATACAGGTTCAGTATCCCTCACCCAAAATGCTTGGGACCAGAAGTGTTTTGGATTATGGATTTTTTTGGATTTTGGAATATTTGCATTATATATTCTTAACCAGTTGAGCATCCCTATAATCTCCAATGAGAATTTCCTTTAAGAGTCTTGTTGGTGCTCAAAAAATTTCAGATTTTGGAGCATTTAAGGCTTGGGTTTTTGGATTAGGCATGCTCAATTTGTAGATTTTTCCAAAAGGAATTCAATTTAGTTGTGTTGTGGGCTATTTTGACAAACTGAAGCAAGAACCTAGAAAGATAATAGCTTGTATCTTCTTTAGGGGTATCACTGGAGAATTTTCCCTTCTGTAAAGAATTGCTCATTCCACCTGGAACCCAAAACTATATGGTAAGAATGCGCCTCTATGACATCAACCGGCGGCAGCTGAACCTCACCATCCGGATTGTCTGTCGAGCAGAAGGATCCTTAAAGATCTTCATTTCTGCTCCATACTGGCTGATTAATAAAACAGGTATGACAGAGACTGCTCAAGCAGGCCTTTGGCATTGGTCACGGGAATTCTGATTTATTTGCTCTACTAAGTGTAGCCAATGCAAATAGATTACTTCAACAGTCTAAGCTGCAAAACTTTCCTGCTTCTATAATAAATGCTGAATCATGGTCAAAACTGTCCTTTTAGACAATGAACTGGGTCCACTAGATAACTTCAATTTTCACTGTTTTCCCCCTTGGTGATTTTTTTTTTTCTTTTTACCATTTGCATCTCTTTTAGATAGACTGGGTGGGATTGATATAAACTTTTCCCCTCTTTCCTTAAGGGTTACCACTGATCTTCAGACAGGACAATGCAAAGACAGATGCTGCAGGTCAGTTTGAGGAACATGAGCTGGCCCGGAGCCTGAGCCCTCTCTTATTCTGCTATGCTGACAAAGAGCAGCCAAACCTGTGAGTACAGTTATTTATGGGATGGGGAAATAAGCTCTTGGGGAAGGGAAAAAATTAGCAAAGGCTATAATATATCTGTGTAAGTAGAAATATGCTATAGATAACAATCCTGACTTGGCAGGGGAATAGAACCATGACCTAATGGGATTTTTTTTGGATCTAATTTCTGTGTTATTTGATACTGAAAATAAACCATTTGGTTGTCTTATAATGAAAGCTAGTTTTATTTTACATGTATTGAAATCGTTCTTCTATTCATAACTCTGCCATTGAAGAGAAACCCACATGTTCCCCTTCTCTCCTCTGCAGTTTCTCTTCCCCTGTAAGCTTTTAGCACAGGCAAAGGAGCTGGCACCAGAGTGGAGATAGACTGACCCTTTGGTAAAGCCTTCAGCCTCATTAATCCAATCCAGTTGTTTGCATAAGGTTTTGAAATCTATCCCTTTCACCCTTAAAGTAAATTGTGCCGTTTCAAGATCTCAAAGCATTCACTACATGTTCCATTAATCCAATCCAGTTGTTTGCATAAGGTTTTGAAATCCATCCCTTTCACCCTTAAAGTAAATTGTGCCGTTTCAAGATCTCAAAGCATTCACTACATGTTTAAAGGCAGGGGAAAGCAACAATTATGCGGATTAGATGACATGTCCCTTTAATGTATTGTAGGAGCATTAATTCACTTTTGTTTTTGGTTTTGACATTCTGCTTTTTACAAGAATCTTCTAATTTATAGCCTTAATTCAAAGATAAGTGGGTGTATGAGGGTACTTCAGAACATTTGTGGAAAAATGGAATTAAAAGGTAATATGAATCTTTCTGTGAACTTTTTGAAGTACCCTCATATCTGATACTGCTAAAATGCTGTACCCAATTAATTATCTACAGAATTATGCTGAAAGCTCAACAGGAAAGCTTCTAGAGTATTACACTTGCATTTACCAGGGAGGGCTGGAATCTAGATTGGTGTTGGAGTCAAGGAGAGAACATTGGTTAGAGTGCTAGATATTGTAGGAGATACAGCCAGCCCTGCAACATGTTCAGCAAGCCCAGTCTCATTCTTTTCTTGAAAGGATTTTGACCCTTCTAGGTCTCGAACTTAACATTTGTCACACACACAGTTCATTTTATCTGGGGAATTCACAGTTTCCAAAGCATTTTACAGAGACCGTCTCATTGGGTTCTCCCCAACATCCCAGTGACTTAGGGCAGGAAATATTGTTCTATTTTAAGATGAGGAAACTGAGGCTCAAAGAGAGTTACCTGCCCTGGGTTACAATGCTTGTTAGTGGTACAGCTGGAACATGCATTCAGGAATTATGTTTCCAGAATTCTTGACAACACACCAGCCAACTAAACAGTGCTTTACCACTGTAATAGTGCACACCCCAGGAGTCACACACCATTAACTGCATCTTCTTGTACATACTTTTCTTGTGCTTTTTTCATGAACCCTTGAAATGCCTGAGTCAGAAAAGTATCTATTTGGCTTGAATCCTTGATTTTTAGGGGACTAATAGAAATTATAGCATTTTTCTCATGTGTTATGCTTATAGAGTCCTAATGTTTTCTCCTAAAGTGTTTAGTTGTAGATATCAATGCATTTCACACACTGTTGTACTATGGCTACCTCTAAGATAGAGTTTTGACTACTGATTAATTTTCTCACTGTGCTTGGGAATCACATGAGAGTGAGAAAGAGTGTCAGTATTAGAGATCTTATTTTGGGTGATAGCTAATTAGTGTTTCCTGATTAGAACAGGTAGATAAGACTTAATTGTGGATGAATATATATATATCTTTGCTTTTCCACCCCACAGCTGCACGATGAGAATTGGAAGGGGGATTCATCCGGAAGGCATGCCGGGCTGGTGTCAGGGCTTTTCCCTGGATGGTGGTAATGGTGTCCGACCTTTGAAAGTCATCCAGCAAGGAAACCGCCCAGGGCTGATCTATAACATTGGTGGGTTACGTTTGGGGCAGCGGGAGAATCAGAACCATTGGCCGATGACCTCAGGCTTGGAGGAGTAAGCTGGCCATGCATTTGGCCTGGCTACAAGTGTTGATTTTCTCATTTGGCATTGGGTCAGGTATCTGTTCTCTGAATGCTAGATTGGTATCAACGCGGATCTATTCTCCTACGGAGCTGAGAAGTCACCTAAACACTGCCCTTTTGAGGTCTGTGGCTCTGTTTAATTTCAGAGTCACTTGTGTCAGGAAAGTATCAGTTTGGCTTGAATCCTTGTTTTTCAGGGAAATAATAGGAACACTTAGAATGCTTTTCATCCTCCAAGTATTCCCACGCATTCATTAAAATTTGCAAACCCTAAGAGGGTAAGAAGCGTTGTTCTCCTTGAAACTGAAGCAGAGAGGTTAAGTGACTTGCCCAGATGCAAAGGGGAGGTCCAGGTCAGAAGTAGGATTAGAATTGGGGCGTACCTATTTGAGGCAGCAAATATAATAAAATGCACTTAGCGGTTGTGGCAATTAGAAGCCCCCAAACTAGCTTAGCTTATAAACGGGAGAAAGGTAGGGAGGAGAGGGGAGGATACCGTATCCATATGCCTCATAGCCACTGAGAACGCTCGGAAGACTTTCTGAAGGCTTAGGATAAATTTGATTTAAATATGCCTTAGGTTTAAAATGTTAGCAGCTCATCCTTCTTTTAGGATATAATTTCCAGGTATCTCAAGCAGTGTTTAGTCTTGAGCATTGGTAAATCATTTAGAACTGTGTTGTCCTGTAGAACTTTCTGTGATGATGGAAATGTTCTGTTTTGCACTGTCCAATATGGTAGCTACTGAGCGCTTGTGAGCACATTACTGAGAAAGTAGCAAGTGTGACTGAGTAATTGAATTTTTCGTTGTATTTGATTTTAATGATTTTAAATATAGATAGCTACATAAGGCTAGTGGCTACTGTATTAGTACAGATCTAAAGAGTCATGTTATAAAAGGAGAAACTGAGGTGGTGTCATTTATATATTTACTCTGAATCCCATGGAGAGTCAGGGAAGAGTTTAAGTGTTTGGGGATTAATTTGTAAGAAAATCTTCCAAGTATAGTTTCTCTTTCAGGTTTTTTAACATGGATTTCATTCTCCCTTGACGCGAACTGTCTCCTTAAAGCTGACATTAAGGTTTTTAAAAGCAATAAGCTTTATTTGGCCCTCCTGCAGAGGATAGTTTTCTTTCCTTTTTCTCACATTTGTTTGCTCCACCCCTTGAATAGGCAAAGGCTGCTTCATGCTGGGTTTGGCTTTCTGCTGGGCTATCTTGCCCTTGATACATTTTCCCAAAGCAAGCCACCACAGGTTGGCTGGAAGCTAGAGTTGTGATGAATTGGAGAGGTGTGGAGGAAGTGGAGCTTGTTCCTTTTAAAGCAGCTAGCACTGAGAACCACAGAATTCTTGCAGGGAGGCAAATTGAGCAGACCAATCAGAAATACGCAGTGGGATTGGCCCTATAAACTTCATGCTAGGAACATTCACTACGGCACGTAGCATATGTTTTTAGAGACAGGACTGTGATTTTAGTTTTGCTGTTCCACCAAGGGAAGAAATACAGGAGGTGGATTAAGATAGGAATTTATGATTCTTAAGGATCATGAGATTTTGGCATGTATTACTAAGGGAATTTGTGGAATCTTTTACTTGAATATTTTGAATAATTGAATAAATTAGCTCCCTATCAGGGAATTTTAAAGCATAGTCCCAAACTGAAAAGACAGGGATAGCCTTGCCAGTAAACCTTGCACATACCTCCAAAAAAGGAGGGTTTTGTGCATTTTGAACTTACCAGTTGTTGATTTATTGGGGAGTTTGTCAGGGCAATCTAAGATGAAAAGGGAAACTAAAATACCTGCCTGTTTCCAAAAATTGAGTGTGTATACTGTTCTAAGATACTCTTGACTCTTTTTGTGATATCAAATAAAATACATCTTTTGTAGGCGGACTTTGTATAAGTTGAGATCAGTTAACAACGATAATGTTGATTTCTGACAACTAAAGCATTTCTGTATATCACAGAAAGAAAAGTAATAGGGTATATCTCCCTATCCCAGTACTATATAGCATTTCTTAGATACGGAGTTTCAGAGATATTTGTTTTTGTGATTTGCTCTGTCTTTCGGGTATTTTTAAGCCTTATGTTAAGGGAACACAAGAATTTTCAAGCCAATATAAGTGAATATTTATCATTGGGATTATGTTGGGAAAGCTAGGACACCTGGTTGTCATATCATAAAGTCGGATCTTTTGTTTTTATGTTTCTCTTGATACTTGTTGACTGCTGTGAACAGGGTCCTTGGATATGTCCCATCACAATAGGAGCAAGCCACCATGAGGGTGCTGGCTCCAGAGGCAGGCTGGCTTATCTGGGTTTGAATCCCAGCTGTGCCACCTGATAGCTGTGTGATCTAGGGCAAGTTACTTAGCTTTCCATGTGTTAGTTTCTTCATCTATAAAATGGTAATAATTAACATACCTAACCTATAAGGTTGTCAGGATTAAATGGAAAGCCTTTGATAGAGGGCCTAACATGTGTTAAGAGTTCACAAATATTAACAAAAATATTGTTATTTTTATTATTTCTATTATAAATATTTATCATTGTATGACCAGAGCTCAGCCTGGTGCCTTGAATATTGTTGCTATATTTATTGTCGGAATGAATGAATGAATGAACAAATGAATGAATAATTCATTTTACCCTTTTGTATTTTAAAAAATTGTTAGAGTTATACAGTTATACAGTTAGAGTTATTTCAGTTTTCTTTATTTGGAATCTGGTGTTTTGAGATTTCCTTCTGACTTATTTTCTTTTTCCCCCTGAACACAGTAAATGTTGAAAATACATTTACTTTATAAATGAGTAAATACTATAATATTTAGCATTATGGTTTTCTTTTATTTATTTTTATGTATTTATGTATTTATTTATTTATTTTTGGTGGCTGGCCAGTAAAGGGATCTGAACTGTTGACTTTAGTGTTAACAGTTAGCATTATATTTGAGCTGGATTCTTGGGCAGTGGGCTAAAAGAAAACACTAGAGGAGAGTCAGTTGAGTTCGGGACAGTACAGAATCCAGCTAAGTAATCTGAAATTTTCACTTTATCCTATAAAAGGGGTAAGTTCTGTAGGAGGAAATTTTGCATGCCAAGAGCAGAAATATATATCACACGAAACTGTCTTAGTAGTCAGCTTCATAAATGGAAACCTAGGGTATGTATGAATGAACACCTATATATTTTAGTTGCTGTTGTAAAGGTACACACTCCGTGAAGAAATTAGGAATTATAGGGATATTGATATTGCCCCTGAGACTTTTTAAGGCCTGAATGGGAACAAGGAATAATACTTTGAGCGCAGTTGTTGTTGTCTTTCCGTTTTTGGAAGGCTTGATATCGTTTCTGGGTGATAAGTAATTGTGAGTCTATTTGTTTTTGTTAGACCAAGGATTTTCTCTCTTTTGATTAATTCATGGCAGTGACTCTTGTTATTTGTAGGTATTGATGTCAAGAAAGGCCGAGGTCGATATATTGACACCTGTATGGTCATCTTTGCCCCCCGTTACCTGTTAGACAATAAATCATCTCACAAACTTGCATTTGCACAGAGGGAGTTTGCCAGGGGACAGGTAAGCAGTTTGCTTTTGAAGAATGACTAAGCTTATTAGCACGGTGAATTTTAATGTCATGGCTTATCTCCCATCAAGACTGTGAATTGTGTGATGTGAATAAGTAGCTTTGGTACGGAGATAGTTCTTGGTAGAGGGCTGGGCTCAGAGTAGGTACTCAGTAAACATTTGCTGTCTTGAATTAACTTGTTGACTAAAGCCAGTGATTTTGTGTATTTAGGGAACAGCCAATCCTGAAGGTTACATTTCCACACTCCCTGGTTCCAGTGTGGTGTTCCACTGGCCTCGGAATGACTATGATCAGCTATTATGTGTCAGGTTGATGGATGTTCCCAATTGTATTTGGTCTGGAGGCTTTGAAGTCAACAAGAATAATTCCTTCCACATCAACATGAGGTAAGTTTGAGACTCTAAATAGACAAAAAGAAGCCTTGTCTGAGGTGTAGTAATGTAAATAGGAAGCCCATATAGCTCTTTGTAAAATGGACACATCTATTTCTGGCTCAGCTGGAGATCTTAGAACTTGCAAAGTCCAGGGAAGTATGAGTGAGCATTTTGATGGAACAAGTTAAATGGGATGTTGACAGTTTTGACCATTTTGTAATTTCTGTGGTCTAAAGTTGCAAGTCCAAGGGGTGGCACTGAGCTCATGTAATGGTTGCCTGCACCTCTGAAAATTCTGTCGGCATTTAGATGGTAATATTGATTATAAATGGTTTTGTCTGTTTTACACATTTGTACAAACCCTTCTCTCATTTGATAGTGTTCCAGTAAATCATCTGGACTTCTATACCCAACTGAGTGACTCTCAGGTCCTTGTTCAGAAAAATCAACCAAATTCAGCCTCAGTTAGCCCAGGATGACTTAGTCTTTCTTCCTGCTTTCATCAAATGTTTTTTAAAAAATTTATTTTTAAACATTTTTAATTATGATAAAACACATACAATTTACCATCTTAATCATTTTTTAGCATACAATTCACTCATGTAAGTATATTCACATTGTTGTGCAAATAATCTCCAGAACTCTTTTCATCTTACAAAACAGAAACTCTGTACCCATTAAATAACAGCTTCCCATGCCCCTCTATTTCTCCCCCTTTGCAACCACCATTCCACTTTCTGTCTCTATAAATTTGACTACTCTAGGTACCTCACATAAGTTGAATCAGTATTTTTCTTTTTGTGACTGGCTTACCTCACTTAGCATAATGTCTTCAAAGTTCATACATGTTGTAATGTATCAGAATTTCCTTTCTTTTTAAGGCTGAATAATACTTCATTTTATACACACACAAACAACCACTTTTGTTTATCCATTCATCTGTTGATGGACACTTGGGTTGCTTCCAACTTCTGGCTATTGTGAATAGTGCTGCTGTGAACATGTGTGTACAAATATATCTATTCAAGACTCTGCTTTTAATTCTTTTGGGTATTGACTTAGAACTGGACTTGTTGGATCATACGGTCATTTTATTTTTAATTTTGTGAGGAACTGCCATACTGTTTTCCATAGTAGTTGCACCATTTTTTTTTTTTTTTTCCTTTTTGTCTTTTTTCGTGTCCGGCAACAGATCGCAACCCTCAGTGTCGCGCCCGTACCGGACTGGGACCAGCAACGGGATCGCAAACCTCGGTGCTGCGCCCGCACCTCGCTCAGCCAGTGAGCGGGAACCGGTCTGTATGTGGGATCCGAACCCTCGGCGGGAGCGCCGCCGCACTCCCAAGCGGCGCACTGTAGCAGTGCGCCACCGGGCCAGCCCAAGTAGTTGCACCATTTTACTTTCCTACCAACAGTGCACAAGGGTTCCAGTTTCTCTACAACCTCACCAACACTTGTGATTTTCTGTGTTTTTGATAGTGCCATCCTGATGGGTGTAAGGTGGTGTTTCATTATGGTTTTGATTCACATTTTTCTAGTGATTAGTGATGCTGAGCATTTTTTCATGTGCTTGTTGGCTATTTGTATATCTTCATCAGATAAATATCTATTCAAGTTCTTTGCCTATTTTTGAATTGGGTTGTTTGTTTTTTTTTTGTTGTCGCGTTATAGGAATTCTTTATTCTGGATATTGACTCTTATCAGATGTGTGATTTGCAAATATTCTCTCCCATTCCATAGGTTGCTTTTTCACTCTGTTAATTGTGTTCTGTGATGCATAGACATTTTTACTTTTGATGTCGCCTAGTTTCCTACTTATACTTTTGTTGCGTGTGCTTTCGGTGTCATGTTCAAGAAGTCATTGCCAAATCTAATGTCATGAAGCTTTTCCTCTATGCTTTTTTCTAAGAGTTTTATAGTTTTAGCTCTTTTAGCTCATCTCTCATCCATTTTGAGTTAATGTGTTTTTTTTTTCTTTGTGACCGGTAAGGGGATC